CCTCTCACCTTTTCTCCTGCCTGACTATTATGTCTCTTGTGCCCTCCTTCCTCCAGCACAGCACTCCACCATCTCTGTGCATCTAGAGCAGAGAGAATACATATGCACCATCAGCAGACACAATTTTCTTCACTCAGGGTCCTAGTGGCGCCCCCTCTACAGTCTGGCACCTGAGGCGGCCACTTCAGTTTGCCTCATGGTAAGGCCAGCCCTGGGCTTTTCTGTGTCTTTTGGGTATTATAGGAATGCTCAGACACAGCTGGGGAAACAGTTTTGCCAGCTGCCCCTTGTTAAGAGCACTGTAATTGGAAGGCAAAACAATTAACATGTTTTCACTCTGTCCTTTCAAATCTGCCCCATGCCCATGCATTTGAATGGACTTTAAATCTGGGTCCTTTTCATCCCTGTGTTTCTGAAAAGGGAAAGGGTGATTTTGTTCTAATATTTAGCTTTGTCTTGAGGCTAAAAGTGGTTGAGACATCTTAAAGTCCAAGGGTGATGTGATGGCCTCAGCACAGCTGGATACCAGAGAAAAAGAGGGAGATCTTCACCGCCCTCCAGCCCTTCACACTGTTTAAGAGGGCTGGTGTGGGCCAAAGGAGCCCTGCATGCCCTGTGTCCAGTCTGGAGAGGCTTCCTCCAGTGCAGGTATTGCAGCTACCTCTGGAGGACTCTCTTACAAGCCCTGGCATAGGATATGCCTTTGCAGGAGGGATGAGTAGGGGTGGGGCCACAACACTAAGCACTGTGGAGTTTCTGGGCATTACTGGCACCTGTAAGGCAGCTGGGGGAGGCTGCCAAATAACATATGCATGGACCCAGGGCTTTCTAAATTATGCCAGTCGCCTTGCCAGCCCCTGGAGCAGATGAGGATTGGGAGGGTGTAAAGGTGGTGTAGAGCTCCCATAGTCCCCCCTCCCCTGGGCTGTGAATCTCACTCATAGTGGTTTAGGAGTCTGCCCCTCTACCATTTTTTCCATTGGGAGCAGACTTCTCTTCTCTGGTTCTCCAAGGAGAGAGACCTCCATCCAAACAGAGGCAACAAGCTTGGCATTCCCCATATTCCTAAGGTAAAATAAAAAGAGGAAAAACACTTAAAATCCCAGTAACCTTTGAGATCTAAAGAAGCAAAAGGGCACAAACCCAATGGCACCCCCTCTTCTGGCCACCTTGAAAGGGGAGCCCCACTCGAAGATCAGTCTCAGTGTGCTGCAGCATTCGTATCCGATGCAAAGAGACTCATTTACTTGGTACTTCTGGCTGGAGCTCAAGTGCTTCAGTTGGTGCACAAGTAGAAAAAGAGAGGATTATTTAGGGCAAGAGAAGAGAGAGCAGAAAATACAATACATTAAATAAGCGGTCTCATCACTTCAGAACACTCCTATTATAAAGGTATTGACTTCTGTGTTCAGTTAGTGTCATATTGAGGGTCTAATATTAATCTCCTCTCTTGGTTAGTTAATACCAAACAATTAAAATTAGATGTTTGTTTAAAAACCCTCCAGTACTAAGTAATGAAAAAGTTCCAGTCATTTGGTATGTGAGAGGGGTTCCATTATAAAGTGGGTCAATGAGAACAAACTGAGGGGGAAAAAAAGGCTGCTCTAATGAAAGTGGGCTTTGAAATCCCTGGAGACTGCTCCTCTCTTTCCCCCCCCCCGAAACTTGCAGTCTTTTCCAAACACTCTGCTCCAGGTGTTGTGACCTGTTTGGCTCATGTTTGACCCGGCTGCCCCTCACTGAAACCCCTGTGCCAGGTTGCAATGCCTGGAGCAGGGAGCCAAGCCCAGCTCCGCGGGACAGGAATCACTGCTGCAAGGTGAGTGTGGGACAGATTCACCTTCCATCTCCCCTCAGGGCACCAGGTTTGCCTAGCCCAGGGCCCAGCGATGGGTTAGTACGGCCCTGGACATGGCAACCCATCTAGCACCTTCTCACAACCCATTGGTGAGTCGGGACCCATTGTTTGGGAAACACTGTTTAAAGTATTCTCTTTTCCTATCCTCCTTTCCATACACATTCCCTCACATGAGGCTGGTAGAAAATGGGAAATGGACATATACTTTTCATGATGGGATCACCTGCATTAATAACTACTCAGAGGCAAGAGTATGCCCGTATAGCATTGTCACAGCTGCCTAGGGGTTCATTTATCCTTTAGAATTTATCAGAGAATTCTATATTTTCTATAGAATTTTTTAAACCAAGCCCCGGAAGTTTTACATCATGGATCTAATTTTCTGTTAAATGTTATAGCTTGGTTAAAAATGATGCAGAAAGGACATCGTTCTCTGATAAATGCTATATGTGGTTTAAACTAACTTTTGTAAAACCCTGCTGGTTTAACATCTGTAAGTTCTATAGCATTTTTCCATAAGGACAAAATATGCTGAAATTGCATGTGATATAATGGGTAAACTTAATTTTGGCGTCTGAGCCTACAAATCTTTATTCACTTGAGGGTTCTGCTCACAGGACTATTCACCTGGAATTACTCCATGGAGACTACCATGGAAGTTTGGGCCCTACGTTATTTTCAGGACTGACATGACACCTTTAAAATAAACAGATATTAATGTTGGGTGTGTCACATATGGAATTTTAAAGGTTGAATGTACACCTCTACCCCGATATAACGCTGTCCTCGGGAGCCAAAAACATCTTACTGTGTTATAGGTGAAACCGCATTATATCGAATTTGCTTTGATCTGCCAGAGTGTGCAGCCCCGCCTCCCCGGAGCACTGCTTTACCGCGTTATATCTGAATTCGTGTTATATCGAGTCACGTTATATTGGGGTAGAGGTGTATTACAATAGCATTCAATGAACAGCAAAGAGGTGTCTAAGAAATCAGAGATCCTAAGAGGCCATCAGCAAGCTAATATATCAGAGATTAAAGAAGTCGGGTATATGTTTAACATCAGAATTAAATGAAATAAATATTGATATTTAAATGCTTTGATATTGCCCAGGTAAGCAATAGTACATCTGTATTTGTACATGAAGAGATCTATTACAGCGCAAGATCTATGTTGGTTTCTGCTAGACATGTTAGCTTATTTTAGTTAAACAATTTCCAAGTGTACCATTGTAAATGAGTTCTATAGTAATAGGTATGTTTCTTTTGACCTAAAGTGTAGTTATACTCTGAAAGTGACTTTGTGGCATTGAGGAATTCTATGTTTATTATCACTCAATGACTTATAGATCAATGTGCTCTATTTACAAGTAAAAATTATGATTTTTCTGTCTATGCCAAGCTGTGTCTGACTTTTGCAACAGTAATAAAACTTTGGCAGGACAAATTCTTCCCTCAGTTACACCTGTGAAACTTGATGGAAATCTAGCTTGCTATCCCATAGCTATGTTGTCTCTATTGTACTAAAAAGTGTTGTGACATTCTGTACCTCGTGGGAACACCCTACAAAACGATGTTCATCCTTATAATATGATTGTGTGGTATCTAATGCAAAGTTTGTCATGTTGGGTGTCTTCGGAAGTCTCATGATGCACTGAGCATGGTTGTTATAGTGATGTTATAGTATGGTCATAGATTATAATTTCATGTACACCTCTAACTCGATATAACGCTGTCCTCGGGAGCCAAAAAATCATACCGTGTTATAGGTGAAACCGCGTTATGTCGAACTTACTTTGATCCACTGGAGTGCGCAGCCCCGCCCCCCCGGAGCACTGCTTTACCGCGTTCTATCTGAATTCGTGTTATATCGGGTCACGTTATATCAGGGTAGAGGTGTATATACTTATGAGGCTGAAAATGTATCCTCATGGCTTAAAGTAAGCCCAGGCAAAAACTCTCTAAGAGCAGAGGGGCAGTTCACATCTCATCAAGGTATGTATGGGACAAACCCAGCCCAGCCTCACAGGAACAAAGGACGCTGGCCTAGGCAACAACAAAAGGATCTGTTCGACTCTCGAGTGAGTCACCCCCCTTCCTTTGGTCAGTTTGGGTCTGTGATGAGGTAATGCTCACCTGACTCTGAAGGGGGTGGGGGGCGAAGCCAAGAGGGAAGAAAGAACATGATAAAAGGGAGAGACGTTTGCCATGCTCTTTCTCTCTCTTCCACCTACATCTACACACACCACACCAAGTGACTGAAGCGCTGATCATAGGGGAGAGCCTGGCTGAAGAGCAAGCAGCCAGCCCGTGGTGAGAAGCATCTAAGTTTGTAAGGGCATTGAAAGTGTTAAGATCAGCTTAGAATGTGTTTTGCTTTTATTTCATTTGACCAAATCTGACTTATGTTTTGACTTATAATCACTTAAAATCTATCTTTATAGTTAATAAATCTGTTTGTTTGTTCTACCTGAAGCAGTGAGTTTGGTTTGAAGCATGTCAGAGACTCCCCTTGGGATAACAAGCCTGGTACCTATCAATTTCTTTGTTAAATTGACGAACTCATATAAGCTTGCAGCGTCCAACGGGCATAACTGGACACTGCAAGACTGAGGTTGTGGCTTGTGTTTGGGACCGGAGATACTGGCTAGAGTCATTCGGTTGCACAATCCAAGGAGCAGCTTACATGCCAGAGGCTGTGTGTGAACAGCCCAGGAGTGGGGGTTCTACAGCAGAGCAGGGTAAGGCTGGCTCCCAGAGTCAAGGATTGGAGTGACCTAGCAGATCACCGGTCCAGATAACACCAGGGGGGAACGTCACAAGTGTAAAAAAAAACCAAAAACCTATTTTGGTCAACACAGTAAGCACTTTGGCTCTGACTGCACACAGGGAGAAGATCTGTTTGGTAGGAAGTGCTATTTCTCCAGAGTACAGCTGCACTTAGAGATTTAAAGACCTGCAGTTGGTCCTGATCAAAGCTGCCTCTTGGTTATATCAGAAATAGTTATACTAGCACAGTCAGTAGACTGGAAAAAGGTGGTGCTTCATCCTTTGCAATGATCATATTTCTAAAGAATGCCCCAAGAGCTGAGAGATTAATCAGCCAGCAAACAATTAGAGTTGTCATTTTGTTCTCTATCAGGTGGAAATCCTCGATTGGAAGACAAAGCAACAGCTGTGCTTTCTGGATAAGGTAAATGATAATATTGTTAAAATGGCAGTGACAGTATTTAGAAGTTTTTAATTTTCTTTAAGTAAATGGAGTGCTTGTGAAAGGAGCTAGAAAGCCCTTCCTCCTCCACTGGAGACAACAGCCTAGGCAGCGGCAGGGCAAACTTGCCCACGCCGCCTTACAAAATCCCTCAACCCTCTTCTGGAAGGACCAGAGTGCAGGGAGCACTTCCATCTTCATTCGCATTCAACCTCTCAGCTGAGGGGGCCAACAAGGGTGCCAGTTAGTACCAGTTGTGATGTGACCCTGGAGAGATTTCACATAAGCCTCCAAACTATCATCATGTTGTAATAACTTTGGTCATTATTAACATGGATGGATTTGCAATATGAGCTAGAGATTAAATACTCCCTTTTCCTATTACCAGTGGCTTGAGCTGTCCATACTAGACATAGAATTTTTTGGCCATGTTTCGGAAAGTTAAAGGAATGTGTCAACTTGAAAAATCACATTTCCACCTGCACATTTTTTGAATCTACTGATCATTTTCCAATACAAATGTCTTACATGAACAGTATTTTTGTTGCCTAGGTGGAACCACATGCCACGATTAGTGACATCAGATTGATGTTCCATAAATCATGTAAGTATAATATTTTCAAAGAAACATACTAAGGGTACAAATCACATCAGAATATCCAGTACATAATTATTTAATTTAAAATTATATAGTTTGATGGAGCATATGATATACACACATTAACGCAAGTAATCAGCAACTGACCACTAATGTAGCTGAGATTTAAAATAATTTTTCATTAGCTATCTCCTAATTTATGCAAATCTGTGCTTTGATCTGTAACTTTTTGTTGATTTTTATAATAAACAATAAAACAAGAAGTCATAAAAATCTCCAACCGAAAGCCTCTCTCTCGTTCGGTTGCAGTCATTATAACAGTGGATAATCCAAAAGCAAATACTATGGATAATTTTATGTTTTCTAATTTGTCTTGTAGATCCCCAGTGGTATCCAGCAAGGCAGTCAATAAGACTTGACCCCAGTAAGTACCATTCAGGTCTAGAGTAATAAGGCTATGAACACAGTGCTTGCATAGAGGGGTGCCACATCCTGCCCTCTCTGCTGGTATTATCTGCTATAAGTGGGAGTTTTGCTGAACTAGTTAACATTATGACTTTACAAAAAGGAGCCCACCACAAACTGAATTCTTTGAACATTATTGCTCAGAATCCCATACATGGGTCTGGTACCAATACCCACTGTTTAGTTAACTTGGGAGTTTGCACATTGTTTTAATTAGTTTTCAACTGCTGAGCACTTGTCCTTCAATGGAAACAGCATGTAATCTATATGTTACCTGCAGCTAACTGCAATGAGATGGACCCCAAAGTGATGCTCATCTGTGAAAAGTCTGAAGGGTTATGTGCTAGTGCTATTAATTCACATTAACTTCTTTTTATCTCAGTTGGACATTACAGTTTTCTCATGTGATAAGCTAATGCAAAATGAATTAATGGGAATATAGGATCTACAGATTTAGCTGGTGCCAAGTGGCTGATTCAGTTAATTTAGTCACAGGTATTTCTGGTAGAAAACTCTTGTTGCATGGCATTGGTGCACAAGGGAAAGCGTAACTGAAAAAACATGTTAATTCTCCATAGTTATTCAAATAAAATGTAGCACCTTCTTTTTCTGCTATTAAGCACACAGTTATTTACACAATCCCTTTAAATGATTATGCTAGTAAAGATTAACATATTTTTTGGGATCCGTCCATGGGAAAATATGTGCTTGAGCAGCTTGTTTCCTTCCACAAGTATTTACGTTATCAGGCCCTATCCAGTGGCTTATGCTAGGAAAATTGTCACTGGGTGACAGCTGGAACTATGGGGATTCCCCTAAATGCAGGAACTTGGGTGCCACTGCCACTAGCCCAAAGCAGGCATGTGTCTGATAGGCCAAACCTCCGGAATGGAAAGATGTCAGTTAAACAAAAGAGTGTGAAAAAGAGTTGAATATAAATTGCATTTTACTATGCAGAGAGGGAGAGATCCTGGTCTGCTCCATACCAAAACCATGTGGAACCATCACATATCCATTGGACTGAAGTGGAAGGCCACAAAGAGATCATGTAGGGGCACACTGCAACCTCTTGAATGCCATGGCTTCCCTCCATGAAGGAGTTCATGGAGATGAGCAGGCAGCAGTTCTGCAGAAAAGGACCTAGGGGGTTACAGTGGACGAGCAGCTGGATATGAGTCAACAGTGTGCCCTTGTTGCCAAGAAGGCTAACAGCATTTTGGGCTGTATAAGTAGGAGCATTGCCAGCAGATCGAGGGACGTGATCATTCCCCTCTATTCGACATTGGTGAGGCCTCATCTGGAGTACTGTGTCCAGTTTTGGGCCCCACACTACAAGAAGGATGTGGAAATATTGGAAAGAGTCCAGCGGAGGGCAACAAAAATGATTAGGGGGCTGGAGCACATGATTTATGAGGAGAGGCTGAGGGAACTGGGATTATTTAGTCTGTGGCAGAGAAGAATGACAGGGGATTTGATAGCTGCTTTCAACTACCTGAAAGGGGGTTCCAAAGAGGATGGATCTAGACTGTTCTCAGTGGTAGCAGATGACAGAACAAGGAGTAATGGTCTCAAGTTGCAGCGGGGGAAGTTTAGGTTGGATATTAGGAAAAACTTTTTCACTAGGAGGGTGGTGAAGCACTGGAATGGGTTACCGAGGGAGGTGGTGAAATCTTCTTCCTTAGAGGTTTTTAAGGTGAGGCTTGACAAAGCTCTGGCTGGGATGATTTAGTTGGGGATTGGTCCTGCTTTGAGCAGGGGGTTGGACTAGATGACCTCCTGAGGTCCCTTCCAACCCTGATATTCTATGATTCTATGAGGAATGAGAAGGGGGCTGGTTAGTGGGTCCATGATCTATATAAATTCTCTGTCCCTACAGAGAGAGCAGTGACATACCCCCATTAGTGTCTACCCATTTTCTGCAGCAGCAGTGGAATGACAATAATGGCTACTGCAGAGCAGGGGATGAGGATTTAATTCATGGTGTGTTGGTTTCAGTGGTTTTCCGTGGGTGCACAGAAAATTCACTCTTATATTTTTTTCCTATAGTTTTGTATTCAAATATAAGGAAACAGAAGCACTCTGAATTCATTTTATCAAATGGCACCCTCTTACCTAAGATTCTGGTAAAACATATGTCAGGCCAAAGGATCCTACAGATTGGTCTAAACAGACTAAAAGATTTCTTTAGGGTTAATATGTTACCAGAGTTTACTTTAATTTCACTGTGATGTGTATAACTACTTCTTCTTCTCAGAAGGAAAATCCTTGAGAGATGAGGAAATCCTGCAGCATCTCCCAGTTGGCACAACCGCTACACTATATTTTAAAGATTTAGGGCCACAAATAGGATGGACTATGGTGAGCTATGCTGCAAGCCTGAGACATTTTAATTAATGCTTCTCCTTAATTAATTCTTGCATCACTTTCTCTCTGCATTTATTTAGAATGTCCATGCGCTGCCTGGTCTGACAGCAGATATAGACAGTGGAGCTTCATTTTCAGTGACTCTAATCTTAAGAAGCATTTAACCAGAGAACCCAATAAAAGTATATCATGCAATCCTGGCAGTGCACCCCATGGAAAAGCAGCAGTGATTGCCTTGCAACATGGTAGCCTGACACTGTGGAACTAAGGCCTGGTCTACACTAACACCCCAATTCGATCTAAGGTACGCAACTTCAGCTACGTGAATAACGTAGCTGAAGTCGACATACCTTAGTTCGAATTTACCGCGGTTCAGACGCGGTCCACACACGGCAGGCAGGCTCCCCCGTCGACTCCGCGGTACTCCTCTCGCTGACGTGGAGTACCGCAGTCGATGGCGAGCACTTCCTGGTTCGAATTATCGCGTCCACACCAGACGCGATAAATCGAACCCGGAAGTTCGATTGCCAGCCGTCGAACTACCGCGGTAGTGTAGACAAGCCCTAAGTGACTATGTAACTTCTGTTCCTTGGGCTGTCAGAGATCAGGCTCATCTTGTTGTCCTGGAGATCAATCCTGCAAAGACATATGAGTGACTTTACTCATGTCAGTCAATTTTATTGACTTCGATGGGTCTGCTCATGAGAGTAAAGTTACTCACATGCATGTTTGCAGTTCAGGTCCTGGGACACTAATGACAGCTGGTCATTTCAGTAGCAGCATGAATTCAGATTGATTTTGGTGAATAGTTTTGGCTGAATAAACACTGAAAACAAAAATTTTGAAACTCAAAAGTTTGCTTTGAAACTATCATAATGAACCATTTCAACTTTGTGTTTTGAATCAACATTTCATTTAGAAACCAAGTATCACTTCAAATAGACATTCACAATGTTTCATTTGACCCAAACACATTTTTTTTTCTTTTTAGTTTTTCATTTTGTCAAGAAAGACCACCACAAAAAATCAGTTTTGGTTTGAAACTACCCGAATATTTTTTCATATTTTTTGGTTCAGCCACAAAACTGAAAAATCAGTTATTCATTCAGCTCTAACATTAACAGAAATTGAAAACAACAAATGTTCTGCCCTCTTAATTCAAAGAAAAGTTCCATCATGGCAGCGTTAGCCTATAGCATTGACTAGGTGGTAAGAGAAATGGTGGCTTTGAAATTAGTTGGGCAACTGTCCCTGCACAAACCCTTCTGCAATTCCACAATACACATATTGTCCTTTAGTTTTAATTTAAATGTCACAGCATGAAGGTAAAGTTAGACAGGAATTTGAAAACATATCATTTTTAATTACAATAATTAATATAATCTTATTAATGACAAATAGTAAAGACAAAAATAATAAACCCCCCTATAATTTTAAATCACTTTTCATTGAATATAAATCCTCAGATCATCACACTGGAGCCCATATTAGAAAAAGACTCCTACCAAGTAATCCTAAATGCAGTAAGATGATCAGAACAAATAATTACAATATGAGTAGGTAATAAGATCAAGATGGTTTCATATCAATGTACAGTGAAATACCACAGCATATCAAACATTATAATGTAAATAGAAGCATATACCCTGCCATATGATTGTCCTATGAACCATCTAGACCCTCCTCACCCTGCCCTTCATTAATCTTATTCAGACATAACCTAAGAAAAGCTTTAGCTTCAGCAAGTTTAAAGAAACAATATCTTCCCATCTACGGTCAATTTAACCTTTGCCAGGATGAGTGCTGATGCAATTACATCAATTGTAATGATGATATCCATATCACGTAATATCACTAATACCTCAACAACTTTTCTGGACATATGAGTAGCTCTAAGTATATCAGAAAAAAGTGATGATTTTTTGTTACCTAAGTATAGTACATTTCCCTTATTTCTCCATAATTCAGACATGAACCTACTTTAATTAGTTATGGAAGCAAAAGTAATTATAAAAATTGAGGTCAAATTAAAGTGATGCTCATATGAAGTATTTCTATTTTAAACCAAATTCACTCATTAGAAACTAGTTTCTAGCCCTCCACCCTTTTTTTTTTTTTTGGGAGAAATTCTTTACCAGCGTTCTTTTAAAGCTATATTTCAAAAGTAGTTTTATAGTATGCCGAGATGAAAAATAAAGGCTAACGTTATATAAACATAATTTGCATGCACATTTATCACAACTGTATGTGCTCCCATGTTAATTGCACATAACTTGTCACCTGTGCATGGAATTACTGAAGTTGTATGCAGTTACTGCAAATGCAAGTGCACATTATATGTATGCGTTTCTAACAATCTCAGCCTATAATTCCAAATGTTGTCATGGCAAAAAAACAAAAACAAAACAAAACCACACCTCCATTCTGGGTTGGTGGAGGAATTTACTAATCACAAAAAGAAAACAAAAAAAACAAAGCACTGCCACGGATCTGCTCAGTCTAATTATTCTCTCTCTCTTTTTTTTTTTTTTTTGGCAGGTATTTTTGACAGAATATGCAGGTCCATTGTTCATCTATTTTCTGTTTTATTTTCGCATGCCTTTTGTCTATGGCCTGGATGACAAGCTTACATCAAGCCCACATCCAGTGGTTAAGTAAGTTCTGTTATGAGCCTCAAGCAATATTTTTGAAAGCATCATATTTTTATTCCAAATTTCTTGCCACACTTGTTTCTGTAGCATTCCTAAATGCTTTTGTCTTGCTATTTCTAGCTTGGCATGTATCTGCCATTCTTTCCACTACATCAAAAGGTTGATTGAAACAATATTTGTTCATCGGTTCTCCCATGGGACTATGCCACTGAGGAGTATTATTAAGGTAAATTGTGACAAAAATCTACCCACAGCCCTTTAGTAAATACAATCTGGCCCCTCTCTGCACTGCTTCATTAGCACAGTGTTTTGGTGTGGCTTTTGTGGTAATACACAGCAGTTCTGATTATGTAAAGCTGTAATTCTTTTACAAGATCTCACAATAACCTTCCCATTGTAACCTACATACCACCCTGCCATTATAATTCCTGTCACAGTTTTCCCATTGCTCTTTCAAGATTTAATACCTTCAGTATTCATTCCGTTTTTAGCCCGCTAGCTCTCTTGGGTGTGAGGATTTCAGAAGCACTGTTATATTTTAAGGGGGCACAGTCTACTATAACTAGAGGTTTTCAAAATATTTTTAATCTGTTTTTTGTAATAGATTCATAGAATCATTTCTCTCCTTGACAATTATAAATTTGCCTTTGCTTCTTGTGTAGCATAAAGCACCATGGCTGTTCTATATTTCCTTCCTGTCATGAGCACAACCTAGCAACAACTCTGTTCTGGGAGCAGAGGCTCACCTGTACTCCCTCTGTTGACTGCCTGTCTGCCCGCACAGTGGTATGATAGACTGCATGGCTGTGCAGTAACTACAGATATTTAAAAAAAATGAGGCAGCAGAATACTGTATTTTAAAACAATGTTATATAGAATCTGGAGGATAGCAGATTATGTCATATCCTAATAGCCCGGTTTTATGGTATTTAATATTTTGTGTTTAGACTATTCCTTTAAAATACATCTGCCTCTTAAGGGAGTGGTAGTCTCACCTGGGAACGAGAAGGCTCTAGTTTCATTTTTACACCCTACCAATAGTCCTATCTTTGTTATTACCCTATTGATCATCTGACTCCCTGCAGCTGATTAGCATTAGCTTTGTGCTTCCTAAGTAGGAAAAGGGTCCTAAATATTCAGCTAGTAGCATGAGCTGGGCACTGGTAGTCACAGTGAATTTTTTTTGCACAGATTTATTTTCATTGCTTTCCTAAGCAGAGATGTGCACAGGTTTCTATCAGGCTAGCAGCTCACTTAGAAATGTCTAGTCTGGACAAGTGGTAGCTATTTTACATTAATAACATTAGATGTTTGAAAGCAGGACAACTGTACCTTTAAAGTGAATTCATACTGTGCATTAAATCATCACTTGTCACTAGTGTCTGACACCCCTATTGCACCACTCTAGTCCAAACAAAATACAGCTGCTAAAATTCTTATCTTTATCAGTCATTCTGACCAGTGCCTTTGAATCACTTCCCCTTCTCCACTACATCAAGTTCACGATACTTGTCTTCAACCTCAAGTTCATACATAACTATGTGTCTCCCTAGGATAACGAGTCTTGTGGATAAGGGAGAAGCAGTGGATGTGGTATACCTAGACTTTAGTAAAGCATTTGATACGGTCTCGCATGATATTCTTATCAATAAACTAGGCAAATACAACTTAGATGGGGCTACTATAAGGTGGGTGCATAACTGGCTGGATAACCGTAGTTATTAATGGTTCCCAATCCTGCTGGAAAGGGATAACAAGTGGGGTTCTGCAGGGGTCTGTTTTGGGACCGGCTCTGTTCAATATCTTCATCAACGACTTCGATATTGGCATAGAAAGTACGCTTATTAAGTTTGCAGACGATACCAAACTGGGAGGGATTGCAACTGCTTTGGAGGATAGGGTCATAATTCAAAATGATCTGGACAAATTGGAGAAATGGTCTGAGGTAAACAGGATGAAGTTTAATAAAGACAAGTGCAAAGTGCTCCACTTAGGAAGGAACAATCAGTTTCACACATACAGAATGGGAAGAGACTGTCTAGGAAGGAGTACTGCAGAAAGGGATCTAGGGGTTATAGTGGACCACAAGCTAAATATGAGTCAACAGTGTGATACTGTTGCAAAAAAAGCAAACATGATTCAGGGATGCATTAACAGGTGTGTTGTGAGCAAGACACGAGAAGTCATTCTTCCGCTCTACTCTGCTCTGGTTAGGCCTCAACTGGAGTATTGTGTTCAGTTCTGGGCACCGCATTTCAAGATGTGGAGAAATTGGAGAGGGTCCAAAGAAGAGCAACAAGAATGATTAAAGGTCTAGAGAACATGACCTATGAAGGAAGGCTGAAAGATTTGGGTTTGTTTAGTTTGGAAAAGAGAAGACAGAGGGGACATGATAGCAGTTTTCAGGTATCTAAAAGGGTGTCATAAGCAGGAGGGAGAAAACTTGTTCATCTTAGCCTCTAAGGATAGAACAAGAAACAATGGGCTTAAACTGCAGCAAGGGAAGTTTAGATTGGACATTAAGAAAAAGTTCCTAACTGTGAGGGTGGTTAAACACTGGAATAAGTTGCCTAGAGAGGTTGTGGAATTTCCATCTCTGCAGATATTTAAGAGTAGGTTAGATAAATGTCTATCAGGGATCGTCTAGACAGTATTTGGTCCTGCCATGAGGGCAGGGGATTGGACTCCATGACCTCTTGAGGTCCCTTCCAGTCCTAGAACCTATGAATCTATTTAGCTGCACTTGAGCCTAATTTACCTCTCACTTGCTCTGGTGTAATTCTGTTGATTTTAATGGAGTTATTTGTGATGAAAAAAGTCATATCAGGTTGACCCATAACGAATTTTTTTCAAATTTATCACCACACCAACAAAATTTTTTTTAAATGTTTCTGGTCAAATGAAACATTTCATTTTTTTTTAAATAAAATTTAAATTTCAGAATGAAAAGTCATTTTTAATTGAAACATTTTGAAAATGTCAAAATCCAACATTTCAAATTTTTTAAAATATATTTAAAAAAATATTTTTGAGTGAAACAATTTAGGAAGTTCAACATGAATTTGCAACAAGTCTTGGTCAGCCCAAATCTGCATTTCTTGGTGAAAAACATTTCACAGGAACAGTTTTACCAACTCCTAATCCCATTATCTTTACCAGCCTCAACACCCTTTTTGTTTTTTTCCTCTCTCAGCCATATGAGCTTCTTCCATGACACCACATGTGTGTCAAAAGTTCTTCCTGGGTTGTAAAGACAGTTCCCCATTTAAATTGGGGGAAAGGGATGTAAACATACTAAGGATATGTCTTCACTACTGGCCGGATCGGCAGGCAGCGATCGATCCAGTGGGGATCGATTTATCGCATCTAGACGTGATAAATCGATCCCCAAGCGCTCTCCCGTCAACTCCTGTACTCCAGCTCGGTGAGAGGTGCAGGCAGAGTCGACGGGGGAGCAGCAGCAGTCGACTCACTGTAGTGAAGACACCGCAGTAAGTCGATCTAAGTACGTCGACTTCAGCTATGTTATTCACGTAGCTGAAGTTGTGTAACTTAGATCGATTTCCTGCCCCCCTCCCCTCAGTGTAGACCAGGCCTAAGTGATCAAGTTGATGAAAGGTCCAGTGACCCAGACCCTTAAAGGTATTTAGGCAGGAGCGCCACCAGCTCTTCTGCCGCCCTAGGCGGCGGAAGGTCCCGCCCTGAAATGCCACCCCCCACAGAGGCGGCGGAAGGTCCCGCCGCTGAAATACCGCTGCAGTCGCCGCCCCCCAAATTGTAGTGCCCTAGGCGACTGCCTAGGTCGCCTAATGGGTTGCGCCGGCCCTGTATTTAGGTGTCTAACCCCCTTTGAGGATCTGCCTTATTACTTTCACTTTGTGGGAGGAGAAGGGAGTGGGTGTACAGATTTTCAAGGACATTTAATTATATGGAAAATTTGGATCACCAAGAAACCATTTGTGAGATAGCAGGAGCAAAGAAATGTCAGACACTCCCCCACACTTCAAAATGGGGCAATTTTAAACACCTTAGAACTTCCAAACAACTCTGTGTAACTTTCACTAAAATTCCATCACTCCCCTATCATGGTGTGTATGATTTTATATTAGGCCCAGCTTTTTTTTTTTTATTCCTAATTAAGAGACAAATTGTTAGACTCCACTCTAAAAGGAAAGCTCAGCTCAGCCTTAACTTTGGAGCCAGAAATATGGTTTAATAATATGTATTATATATGTACATATCTTTTTACCTAGTCTGACTACACATTTTTCTCCAGTACCCAAATATAGGTGGTAGAAAAGGCCTCCTATTTTAGATACATCATTGTTCATATAGGGGCTGTTTGTTTGTCCTCTAGGAGACGTCAATAATCTTAATTTAATGAGACAATCAAGTTCCTTGTAAGCATGACTTAGAGGGGATGGGATTGGACATTTCTGAGAGGGAGGAGGGTTTCCATCCATCGTATTGGCTGGGAGACCCTTCACCTTTGTTTCATATACATGGCAGTAGGGTCATTTGGGCTCTTTCAATGCTTCATTGTGCTCTCTGGGACATGGAGGGTATGAGCAAATTCTTTTTTTGAAGAAAGGATACAGACGTAATTAAAATGGAAACAGACATGTCCCATCCATGAAGGTTCTACTCATTCCTAGTGGGAATCAAGTAAAAACATTCCACGGTATAAACAAGGCTCCTTTTGCTAGCACTACATATACTCTTGAAAGGTTGTGTTACTTTGTTAGGCCCTCCTAAGCGGTGTCATCTGCTGGGAGTCTGTGTATGAAGAATGAGTTGTATACTGCCAGTTTTGATATGACTGATTGATTTCAGCAGTGGCAAATCCCACTTACTTTAGGAGTCTTTCCTTAAAACTGAAGTAGGTTTTTGAAGAAAATCGTGTACATAAGAATGGCCGTACCGGGTCAGACCAAAGGTCCATCTAGCCCAGTATCCTGTCTACCGACAGTGGCCAATGCCAGATGCCCCAGAGGGAGTGAACCTAACAGGCAATGATCAAGTGATCTCTCTCCTGCCATCCATCTCCACCCCCTGACAAACAGAGGCTAGGGACACCATTCCTTACCCATCCTGGCTAATAGCCATTAATGGACTTAACCACCATGAATTTATCCAGTTCTCTTTTAAACGCTATTATAGTCCTAGCCTTCACAACTTCCTCAGGTAAGGAGTTCCACAAGTTGACTGTGCGCTGCGTGAAGAAGA